GGACAGATCTATAGTCCAGACTATAGACAGATCTATAGTCCAGACTATAGACAGATCTATAGTCCAGACTATAGACAGATCTATAGTCCAGACTATAGACAGATCTATAGTCCAGACTATAGACAGATCTATAGTCCAGACTATAGACAGATCTATAGTCCAGACTATAGACAGATCTATAGTCCAGACTATAGACAGATCTATAGTTCAGACTATAGACAGACCTATAGTCCAGACTATAGACAGACCTATAGTCCAGACTATAGACAGATCTATAGTCCAGACTATAGACAGATCTATAGTCCAGACTATAGACAGATCTATAGTCCAGACTATAGACAGATCTATAGTCCAGACTATAGACAGATCTATAGTCCAGACTATAGACAGATCTATAGTCCAGACTATAGACAGATCTATAGTCCAGACTATAGACAGAGTATAAACAGATCTATAGTCCAGACTATAGATATATCTATAGTCCAGAGTATAAACATATCTATAATCCAGATTATGGACAGATCTTTAGTCTGCAATATAGATCTATAGTCCAGACTATAGTCTGTTCTATAGTCCAGAATATAGTCTGTTCTATAGTCCAGTCTATTTTGTTCTATAGTCCAGACTATAGTCTGTTCTATAGTCCAGACTATAGTCCAGACTATAGTCTGTTCTATAGTCCAGACTATAGTCTGTTCTATAGTCCAGACTATAGTCTGTTCTATAGTCCAGACTATAGTCTGTTCTATAGTCCAGACTATAGTCTGTTCTATAGTCCAGACTATAGTCTGTTCTATAGTCCAGACTATAGTCTGTTCTATAGTCCAGACTATAGTCTGTTCTATAGTCCAGACTATAGTCTGTTCCATTGTCTAGACTATAGTGATTTACTGATATAGTCCAGACTATAGTCTGTTCTATAGTCCAGACTATAGTCTATTTTATAGTACAGACTATAGTCTGTTCTATAGTCCCGACTATAGTATTTTCTATAGTCCAAACTATAGTCTTTTCTAGAGTCCAAACTATAGTCTGTTCTATAGTCCAGACTATAGTCTGTTCTATAGTCCAAACTATAGTCTGTTCTATAGTCGGTTCCATAGTCCAGACTATAGTCTGTTCCATAGTCTAGACAATAGTCTGTTCTATAGTCCAGTGTTTATCTTTTAAAATTTTTATAGAAAATTTCCTAACGGATATTTACACCTGTAAATACATATGTATATATGTATATGGCAACAATTGTATTAAATTGGAAATACCTCATCATATAAATACATATACATACATATACAGCTGTATAATAATGCCTATATTTGTATGTATTTGTATTGGCATTTATTTGTAGGTAAATGTAGATTTAAATGAAAATCGTATAAGTAGTAAAAAGGAAATCAATTGTCAAGGGGTCTTAAGTTTCTGTTTGAATAGGAATCCAACTATTATTATATATTATACGATGATGACGATGATGATGACGATGAGTGGTAGTCTGTAGAATTACCGATATTTGTATATAATTTTCTATGATTCTAAAGGTGTTGTATGATGGTGGTATTATGAAACCATACACATGTTTTGCAGCTAAACAAAGACTAGAGAAAAACTAATTTTCTTTTATAGACGGAAAATTGTGTAAAACATTTTTATTATTTTTATAATATATGTACATACACACATACAAAGTACAAGTATTAGGGGTATTATTATAAGCAAATAAGTATTATTGTTATAAAATAATATATTGCTGTTTTTTTGTCTTTCTTTTTTATACATTTCTATAATAGAAAATTGTAGTGATTTACTGATTTTCCATTAGCAACAAGTCAATTGCGAAAAGGGGGGAGGGGGTATGTTAAGCAGCTATATAGGAAAATTAAGCACGTAATCAATTACAGTTTATTTTCAATTTAATAATAAAATAAAAGTTTTTTTTGTTCACTTTTAGGTTTTAAAGCCAAAGGTAGTGAAAAGTATTCGCAAAGTTTTTTGTTTGTTGTTAGAAAAGTTTGTAGCCACATTTTTGGGAATTTTAGAAAATTGTTTATAATAAAGTTGTTGTAAAGAAATTTTAAAATTCATAACAAATAATTAAGTAAACGGCTTTATATGCAATTAATTTAATAAACTTCTGTAGGAAATATAGAAAATTTAATTAAGAATTTCCTAATATTTAGCAAAGTTTGTTGAAATTTTAGGAAAATACATGTAAATGAATTTGTTTAGTTTTGCTAAAATATAATAGTTTAAGGTGTTGTCTTAAAGAAATATAGAGAATATTTTGCGAATTTGTATCAAAAATAATTTTTAAAAATTTTAAATTTTAAGATTTTTCTTAAATATTATTAAATTAAAGATTTTGTCTTAAATATTTGAGTTTCTAGTTCTGTTCTAGTTCTGTTCTAGTTCTGTTCTAGTTCTGTTCTAGTTCTGTTCTAGTTCTGTTCTAGTTCTGTTCTAGTTCTGTTCTAGTTCTGTTCTAGTTCTGTTCTAGTTCTGTTCTAGTTCTGTTCTAGTTCTGTTCTAGTTCTGTTCTAGTTCTGTTCTAGTTCTGTTCTAGTTCTGTTTCTAGTTCTGTTCTAGTTCTGTTCTAGTTCTGTTCTAGTTCTGTTCTAGTTCTGTCTAGTTCTGTTCTAGTTCTGTTCTAGTTCTGTTCTAGTTCTGTTCTAGTTCTGTTCTAGTTCTGTTCTAGTTCTGTTCTAGTTCTGTTCTAGTTCTGTTCTAGTTTCTGTTCTAGTTCTGTTCTAGTTCTGTTCTAGTTCTGTTCTAGTCTGTTCTAGTTCTGTTCTAGTTCTGTTCTAGTTCTGTTCTAGTTCTGTTCTAGTCTGTTCTAGTTCTGTTCTAGTTCTGTTCTAGTTCTGTTCTAGTTCTGTTCTAGTTCTGTTCTAGTTCTGTTCTAGTTCTGTTCTAGTTCTGTTCTAGTTCTGTTCTAGTTCTGTTCTAGTTCTGTTCTAGTTCTGTTCTAGTTCTGTTCTAGTTCTGTTCTAGTTCTGTTCTAGTTCTGTTCTAGTTCTGTTCTAGTTCTGTTCTAGTTCTGTTCTGTTCTAGTTCTGTTCTAGTTCTGTTCTAGTTCTGTTCTAGTTCTGTTCTAGTTCTGTTCTAGTTCTGTTCTAGTTCTGTTCTAGTTCTGTTCTAGTTCTGTTCTAGTTCTGTTCTAGTTCTGTTCTAGTTCTGTTCTAGTTCTGTTCTAGTTCTGTTCTAGTTCTGTTCTAGTTCTGTTCTAGTTCTGTTCTAGTTCTGTTCTAGTTCTGTTCTAGTTCTGTTCTAGTTCTGTTCTAGTTGTTCTAGTTCTGTTCTAGTTCTGTTCTAGTTCTGTTCTAGTTCTGTTCTAGTTCTGTTCTAGTTCTGTTCTAGTTCTGTTCTAGTTCTGTTCTAGTTCTGTTCTAGTTCTGTTCTAGTTCTGTTCTAGTTCTGTTCTAGTTCTGTTCTAGTTCTGTTCTAGTTCTGTTCTAGTTTGTTCTAGTTCTGTTCTAGTTCTGTTCTAGTTCTGTTCTGTTCTGTTCTGTTCTGTTCTAGTTCTGTTCTAGTTCTGTTCTAGTTCTGTTCTAGTTCTGTTCTAGTTCTGTTCTAGTTCTGTTCTAGTTCTGTTCTAGTTCTGTTCTAGTTCTGTTCTAGTTCTGTTCTAGTTCTGTTCTAGTTCTGTTCTAGTTCTGTTCTAGTTCTGTTTAGTTCTGTTCTAGTTTGTTCTAGTTCTGTTCTAGTTCTGTTCTAGTTCTGTTTAGTTGTTCTAGTTCTGTTCTAGTTCTGTTCTAGTTCTGTTCTAGTTCTGTTCTAGTTCTGTTCTAGTTCTGTTCTAGTTCTGTTCTAGTTCTGTTCTAGTTCTGTTCTAGTTCTGTTCTAGTTCTGTTCTAGTTCTGTTCTAGTTCTGTTCTAGTTCTGTTCTAGTTCTGTTCTAGTTCTGTTCTAGTTCTGTTCTAGTTCTGTTCTAGTTCTGTTCTAGTTCTGTTCTAGTTCTGTTCTAGTTCTGTTCTAGTTCTGTTCTAGTTCTGTTCTAGTTCTGTTCTAGTTCTGTTCTAGTTCTGTTCTAGTTCTGTTCTAGTTCTGTTCTAGTTCTGTTCTAGTTCTGTTCTAGTTCTGTTCTAGTTTCTGTTCTAGTTCTGTTCTAGTTCTGTTCTAGTTCTGTTCTAGTTCTAGTTCCTAGTTCTGTTCTAGTTCTGTTCTAGTTCTGTTCTAGTTCTGTTCTAGTTCTGTAGTTCTGTTCTAGTTCTGTTCTAGTTCTGTTCTAGTTAGTCTGTTCTAGTTCTGTTCTAGTTCTGTTCTAGTTCTGTTCTAGTTCTGTTCTAGTTCTGTTCTAGTTCTGTTCTAGTTCTGTTCTAGTTCTGTTCCAGTTCTGTTGCAGTTCTGTTGCAGTTCTGTTCTAGTTCGGTTCTAGTTCTGTTCTAGTTCTGTTCTAGTTCTGTTCTAGTTCTGTTCCAATTCTGTTCCAGTTCTGTTCTAGTTCTGTTCTAGTTCTTTTCTCATTCTGTTCTAAATAAAATATTTTAAAATTTTATCGCATCTTTCAAAGTTGAAATCAATAAAACTTTGGGGAATTTTTGTGAAGTTTTAAATAGTTTCGTTTTATAAATTCCCTTATCGAAGATGACCTTGACCCCTTTAAAAAAAAAGAAAACAAAAAACAAATCTGCCGGCCAAAACAGAACTTGATTTCATTACATCACCAATGTATTAAAAAGTAAAACATTTTTTATTAAAAAAGTTATTTAACACTCACAGAGCACATTTATAAATTAATTATAAATTTAAAATATTTTATATAAATTTTTAAGTTTAAAAATGTCATTGTCCCTCACACCATAAAAAAAACTTAATTTGTAGCAAAATGCAAAAGTTATTATTTAATCACCTTAAAAACAAAAGAAAATTTATAAAAGAAGAAATCTAGGAACTTTAGACCAAATTTTTAGAAATTTTACTCTTAATTAATAGCCATGTATGTATGTGTGTGTTAGTAGTTTTAACATTAAAAAAAAAAACAAACCAAAACCAAAGCGAATAAGAGTGTTAATTTTCCATTAGTTTTCTCACCTTATCCTTAGGCCCATCAGATGCCACACAAATGGCAGAATGTAACCTTCCTGTCACCGATGTTTTGTGATCATTGCGGTTCTCTTTTACACGGTATCACACATAAAGGTCTAAAATGTCGAGGTAAATTTTTTGTTCTTTCTCTCTCTCTCTACTTAAACATAATTTATTTTTGTGTGGTGGTGTTTTTACTCTTTAAGTCATACATATTGCAATAACAAAAAAAAAAAAGAAAAACATATACACCACTAGATTAACAACAACAAAAATAAAATAAAAACAAAAACACTTATTTATTGTATTGTCTCTTAGTGGTCGTTCAAATTTGCATACAAAAAAAGCAAGAGAGTGTTATGTCCTTAGTATAAGAGTATGTAAGTGTGTATGAGTATGTGTGCGTGTGTGAGTAGGATAATAAAAAGTGTTGTTGTTGTTGCTGGAGAGTGTGTGAAGAGTGGGTGGTTGTGGGTTTGTTGGTTTTGTACTGTAGGTTTTGCTATGTGTATTTGTTTTTCAATGGTTGAGGTCTACAACACAATCGGAAAATATCCCACCTTTAACAAATGCAATTGGAAAAACAGAGTAACATGTATTAAGGGGGACAATAATCTTAATTCCAGTTTTGTAGACTAGACTATATACTAGACCATAGACTAGACTATAGACTAGACTATATACTAGACCATAGACTAGACTATAGACTAGACTATAGACTAGACTATAGACTAGACTATAGACTAGACTATAGACTAGACTATAGACTAGACTATAGACTAGACTATAGACTAGACTATAGACTAGACTATAGAGACTAGACTATAGACTAGACTATAGACTAGACTATAGACTAGACTATAGACTAGACTATAGACTAGACTATAGACTAGACTATAGACTAGACTATAGACTAGACTATAGACTAGACTATAGACTAGACTATAGACTAGACTATAGACTAGACTATAGACTAGACTATAGACTAGACTATAGACTAGACTATAGACTAGACTATAGACTAGACTATAGACTAGACTATAGACTAGACTATAGACTAGACTATAGACTAGACTATAGACTAGACTATAGACTAGACTATAGACTAGACTATAGACTAGACTATAGACTAGACTATAGACTAGACTATAGACTAGACTATAGACTAGACTATAGACTAGACTATAGACTAGACTATAGACTAGACTATAGACTAGACTATAGACTAGACTATAGACTAGACTATAGACTAGACTATAGACTAGACTATAGACTAGACTATAGATAGACTATAGACTAGACTATAGACTAGACTATAGACTAGACTATAGACTAGACTACAGACTAGACTATAGACTAGACTATAGACTAGACTATAGACTAGACTATAGACTAGACTATAGACTAGACTATAGACTAGACTATAGACTAGACTATAGACTAGACTATAGACTAGACTATAGACTAGACTATAGACTAGACTATAGACTAGACTATAGACTAGACTATAGACTAGACTATAGACTAGACTATAGACTAGACTATAGACTAGACTATAGACTAGACTATAGACTAGACTATAGACTAGACTATAGACTAGACTATAGACTAGACTATAGACTAGACTATAGACTAGACTATAGACTAGACTATAGACTAGACTATAGACTAGACTATAGACTAGACTATAGACTAGACTATAGACTAGACTATAGACTAGACTATAGACTAGACTATAGACTAGACTATAGACTAGACTATAGACTAGACTATAGACTAGACTATAGACTAGACTATAGACTAGACTATAGACTAGACTATAGACTAGACTATAGACTAGACTATAGACTAGACTATAGACTAGACTATAGACTAGACTATACTATATAGACTAGACTATAGACTAGACTATAGACTAGACTATAGACTAGACTATAGACTAGACTATAGACTAGACTATACTATATAGACTAGACTATAGACTAGACTATAGACTAGACTATAGACTAGACTATAGACTAGACTATAGACTAGACTATAGACTAGACTATAGACTAGACTATAGACTAGACTATAGACTAGACTATAGACTAGACTATAGACTAGACTATAGACTAGACTATAGACTAGACTATAGACTAGACTATAGACTAGACTATAGACTAGACTATAGACTAGACTATAGACTAGACTATAGACTAGACTATAGACTAGACTATAGACTAGACTATAGACTAGACTATAGACTAAACTATAGACTAGACTATAGACTAGACTATAGACTAGACTATAGACTAGACTATAGACTAGACTATAGACTAGACTATAGACTAGACTATAGACTAGACTATAGACTAGACTATAGACTAGACTATAGACTAGACTATAGACTAGACTATAGACTAGACTATAGACTAGACTATAGACTAGACTATAGACTAGACTATAGACTAGACTATAGACTAGACTATAGACTAGACTATAGACTAGACTATAGACTAGACTATAGACTAGACTATAGACTAGACTATAGACTAGACTATAGACTAGACTATAGACTAGACTATAGACTAGACTATAGACTAGACTATAGACTAGACTATAGACTAGACTATAGACTAGACTATAGACTAGACTATAGACTAGACTATAGACTAGACTATAGACTAGACTATAGACTAGACTATAGACTAGACTATAGACTAGACTATAGACTAGACTATAGACTAGACTATAGACTAGACTATAGACTAGACTATAGACTAGACTATAGACTAGACTATAGACTAGACTATAGACTAGACTATAGACTAGACTATAGACTAGACTATAGACTAGACTATAGACTAGACTATAGACTAGACTATAGACTAGACTATAGACTAGACTATAGACTAGACTATAGACTAGACTATAGACTAGACTATAGACTAGACTATAGACTAGACTATAGACTAGACTATAGACTAGACTATAGACTAGACTATAGACTAGACTATAGACTAGACTATAGACTAGACTATAGACTAGACTATAGACTAGACTATAGACTAGACTATAGACTAGACTATAGACTAGACTATAGACTAGACTATAGACTAGACTATAGACTAGACTATAGACTAGACTATAGACTAGACTATAGACTAGACTATAGACTAGACTATAGACTAGACTATAGACTAGACTATAGACTAGACTAGACTAGACTATAGACTAGACTATAGACTAGACTATAGACTAGACTATAGACTAGACTATAGACTAGACTATAGACTAGACTATAGACTAGACTATAGACTAGACTATAGACTAGACTATAGACTAGACTATAGACTAGACTATAGACTAGACTATAGACTAGACTATAGACTAGACTATAGACTAGACTATAGACTAGACTATAGACTAGACTATAGACTAGACTATAGACTAGACTATAGACTAGACTATAGACTAGACTAGACTAGACTATAGACTAGACTATAGACTAGACTATAGACTAGACTATAGACTAGACTATAGACTAGACTATAGACTAGACTATAGACTAAACTATAGACTAGACTATAGACTAGGCTATAGACTAGACTGTAGACTAGACTATAGACTAGACTATAGACTAGACTATAGACTAGACTAGACTAGACTAGACTAGACTAGACTAGACTAGACTAGAATAGACTAGACTAGACTAGACTAGACTAGACTAGACTAGACTAGACTAGACTAGACTAGACTAGACTAGACTAGACTAGACTAGACTAGACTAGACTAGACTAGACTATAGACTAGACTAGACTAGACTAGACTAGACTAGACTAGACTAGACTAGACTAGACTAGACTAGACTAGGACTATAGACTAGACTATAGACTAGACTATAGACTAGACCATAGACTAGACTATAGACTAGATATAGACTAGACTATAGACTAGACTATAGACTAGACTATAGACTAGACTATAGACTAGACTATAGACTAGACTATAGACTAAACTATAGATAGACTATAGACTAGACTATAGACTAGACTATAGACTAGACTATAGACTAGACTATAGACTAGACTATAGACTAGACTATAGACTAGACTATAGACTAGACTATAGACTAGATAGACTAGATATAGACTAGACTATAGACTAGACTATAGACTAGACTATAGACTAGACTATAGACTAGACTATAGACTAGACTATAGACTAGACTATAGACTAGACTATAGACTAGACTATCGACTAGACTATAGACTAGACTATAGACTAGACTATAGACTAGACTATAGACTAGACTATAGACTAGACTATAGACTAGACTATAGACTAGACTATAGACTAGACTATAGACTAGACTATAGACTAGACTATAGACTAGACTATAGACTAGACTATAGACTAGACTATAGACTAGACTAGACTAGACTATAGAGACTATAGACTAGACTATAGACTAGACTATAGACTAGACTATAGACTAGACTATAGACTAGACTATAGACTAGACTATAGACTAGACTATAGACTAGACTATAGACTAGACTATAGACTAGACTATAGACTAGACTATAGACTAGACTAAGACTAGACTATAGACTAGACTATAGACTAGACTATAGACTAGACTATAGACTAGACTATAGACTAGACTATAGACTAGACTATAGACTAGACTATAGACTAGACTATAGACTAGACTATAGACTAGACTATAGACTAGACTATAGACTAGACTATAGACTAGACTATAGACTAGACTATAGACTAGACTATAGACTAGACTATAGACTAGACTATAGACTAGACTATAGACTAGACTATAGACTAGACTATAGACTAGACTATAGACTAGACTATAGACTAGACTATAGACTAGACTATAGACTAGACTATAGACTAGACTATAGACTAGACTATAGACTAGACTATAGACTAGACTATAGACTAGACTATAGACTAGACTATAGACTAGACTATAGATAGACTATAGACTAGACTATAGACTAGACTATAGACTAGACTATAGACTAGACTATAGACTAGACTATAGACTAGACTATAGACTAGACTATAGACTAGACTATAGACTAGACTATAGACTAGACTATAGACTAGACTATAGACTAGAC